AATTGATTACAAAGTTCATATAATAATGGTTCAATTCTTTTTTCACTTTCCAATAAAAATTCATTATCGAATATTTCTGAAGATGATGTTGTTGTTGTATCATCAATTGGAACCAGCGAATGTTCATCTTCAATTTCCATTTTTTGATTTTGATCTTCGATTGCTGATGTTCCGGTATGAAATGATGATTCTTCATAATTGACAACATTCGAAGTCATTATAAATTCTCCTTCAATCATTTTTTCTTCATTATCATCATTCATTTCTTCATTTGTTTTGTTCAAATCATTTTTATTATTACTGTTGTTATTACTGAATTTGACAATTTCTTCATTTGATTCCATATTATTTTGTTGATCATCATCATCATCATTTAGATTTACATCTCTTTCTAATGGTTTTTGATTTTTTCTGCCATCTTCTTCTTGTTGTTGTCCATAATCAATATCATAAGCAATATTATCAGCTTTTTTCTTATTTTCAACATGACGAAATAGATCTGTTTGTTCTTGTCTATTAGCTTCTTCTTCTTCTTTCGAATCATCATCATCTTCTTTTTTCGAATCATTTGTGATTTTTTGTCGTTTTGTTTGCAAATGTTCATCCAAATTTTCATCGACAAGCGATCGATTTTTCTTTTTATTTAGCATTGAAAATTTCTCTTCATCATCGTTTATTTGTTGTTGCTGTTCATTTTGTGATGTTAATTTTCCATCATTAAGCTGTGATGAAGAACATTGCTGCTGCTGTTGTTGTTTTGAAGATTTTTCATCCGATTGTTCCATTGAATCTAAACAATCTTGATTATTTTGTACATTATGATCAAAATTTGGATAAATTGAAGAATCAATGTTTTGATTTTCCGTATTGGATCCGGTTATTGTATTTTCATCATTATCATCACCATCTTCAATTTGATTGTTTTTGTTTTTCATTTCATTATCATCACCATCATCGTTTGATGGTTCTTCAATGGCATTTTCATTTTCATCATTCAAAGTTTCTAAATTTTGATCATTATCATCGTTTTGATCATCATCTTGATCAGAAATTTCCATATTTTCATTTTCTATATCCATTTCTTGGTCACCATCGCCATCATCATCCATATCGATTTGTACATCATCAGGTAATATCATTTCATTGATATTTTCTTTATCATTTCGATTCTGTTTTGAATCATCATCATCTATATTTTGATAATCATCATTTATTTGATTATCTTGATCATCATCATTATCTTCAGGTAGTTGACTATCCTCTTCTTCATTATTATTCTGTGATGTTAATTGATCATTATCACTATTGGCAACTTTATTTGTATCAAAATCTTCTTTTCCACCGGTCATTTGTTCTTCATTTTCTTTACCATCTTTTTGTTGATCTTTTTCATCAATATCATCATCATCATCGTTATCCCATAATTTTTCATCTAAAACTTGTTCATTATCGTCTACTTGACCCATTTGCTCTTCAAGATCTTCATCATTTTCATCATCGATTTCATCATTTTCATCCGATTTTTCATCATTTTGTTTTTCATCAGCACCATATTCATTACCAACAAAATCATCATCCATTTCAATACCATTATCTTCATTTTTCGAATCAGTTTGTTGATCTTCACCATCACCACCATCATCATTATTATTTTCCAAATCATCCAATTGATCTTGACAATCAAGACGATCAGAAACATCTTTAGCATCCGATGTCGTATTTCCATCACCAAATCCAGCATTATCAATATTTTTTTGTTGATCTTTTTGCTGTTGTTGTTGTTCATCATTACCATTATCATCATCACATGATGGCAAACAAAATCCATTAGCCAATAATTCACTGGATAATGACATAAGAATATGTAATAATTTTGATGATGTTTTCAATGAACCAATCGACATACAAAGAAAACCTTGATAAAGATTAATGTATTTAGTGAAAAATGGTACGAAAATTTTAATCATTTCAATCGATATTTGATTAAAATTACTGAAAAATTTATCAACTAATTGAATAATTTGTTCAGGATTGAATAGATTTAAAATTTTAACATTATTTATAGAATGTTTTATGAATTTTTCTTTATCTTCTTCAGTTTTCCCCGTATCATTATCGAGATATTTGAATATTTTTTCAAAACAAAAAAGAATATTTTTCAATAAAACATT